ACGCAAATGAGCCACTCTTGAATCGCTGACCCACAGAAACCATGAGCAATAATAAACAATTATTGTTATTTTAAGCCACTAAGCTTTGAAATGATTTGTTATGCAACCTCAGATACAGGCCATAAGGTCAAAAACAGAAGCCCAATGTCTGGTCTGTGTCTTCAGGGTTCTGGACACATGGCCTTTCCCCCTCCTATTTATACCTTTTCTCTTTCTCTTCCAGTGAACCACTATACTTAGGAAGGAATTTCTGTCCTTCATCTGGGCTTCCTTTATAATATACACATGCTTCTGCACTGGTCTATATATGTGCAATAGAGCACAGTGGTTAATAGAATCAGCTTTGGAGACAGAGTGCCTTAGTTTAAATTCCTGCTCTGCCATTTACTACAAGTATGACCTTGGGCAAATGATCTAATCTCCGTATGCCTTAATTTTCTAACCTTTAGAGTGGAAATAATAATAGTACCCACATCATAGGCTTGTTTCCAGTGCTCAGCACAAGGCCTGCCACATAGGAAGCACTCCGAAAACAGTTGTCTTGTTATTAATGTTATTCTTCCATTATTGGTAGTAGTAGTATTCTGATCATGCTGTGTTGATTGTGTAATTTCACATCTCATTCCATCTCTAGAGAGAGAGCTTCCTCAAGGCAATGCCTTGATGCCATTTATCTTTGCCTCTTCAGCTTCCCAGCAGCACCCAGCCCATGGTAGAGACCAGCCAACATATGTATAACTTAGGAGGGCTGCCTATGATGGCCAGTAGTCAAATTTAAGGCCAGATACTTGAGCCACACGGGAATAGAACAGAGCTATTGTGTGCAGTCCGAGAATGGGGCCAAAGAAAACACAGGGCAGAGCCAGGAATTGGGGCAGAAGTTAAGGCAAGAGGTCGCCCGGGTGAGTGGAGAGCGGGACGGCCCTGGCCAAGCTGTCCAGGTCCTTGCACAGAGCATCTACTTTCCTCTTAACGAAGGAATCTCAGGTTCCCGTGCTCAGCCTTCAGCCTTAGGTGGGATCTTCTGAACGTAAAAGGCCCTCACATTTGCTGGCATGGGTGGGGCCTTGGACAGGTCTCCTAAACTCACTAAGCCTTGGTTTCTCCATCTGTAGACTGAAGATAATAATAATCGCTCTTAAGACTCAAGAATGCTGAGGGTTAAATGTGATCAAGCTGGTAAAGCGCTTAGTGCCCTCACAGGCACAGAGAGAGAGCCCAGTAGATGCTGACCGCTCTTTGCTTGGTAAAAAAGTCTTAGTGAATACAGTCTTTCATTTGCTGGTGTCTTGATGCCAAAGAATTTCAATGATTCTCAAGCTTTTCTGCCTCATTTGCAGAAAGAACCAAGGCATGCACGCACGCACACAGACACCAACCCCCCCCCCCTCCACACACACACACACCCTTCCTTCTGGAAGAGGTTAACTATTGTGACCGGTACAAATAGCCCCTTTCCATCTGATAACAACCTCATCTAAGGAATTCACAACCGTTAATTAGAGGCACCAGGCAATCTTAGGAGGGAGGAAAATGATCGCTCAGGCGCTACCCGCGTCTGAACCGAGCTGCTCTGGGGTAACCTCAGTCACAGAGCCAGGGCCCGAGCAGGGACAGAACAGGATGGAGCCTGCCAGCCACCAGCCCCTCCGCACTGCCTCTTCCCTCTTCAAGACTCCAGGGGGCTGACTGGAGGCACTGCAGTTGTAAGTTCATTATTAAATCATTTCTCACGGAAAGAAGAAAAGGACTCGAAGCTCCACACACCGTGGTTTTTAAAATGCTAGTCTCTCTCCAATAGAAATTGAATTCACTGATGTAGCCCAGGGAAAAGCCAGCTCCTTCCTCCCCTCCAAATGACTCTTTCAGGGTAATATAGCAGTTAAACCTTCAGGTACATAATAGCACGCCGGTCTATTAGCTGAGGCGATTTTCTTCTTCAGCTTGCAGCTTCTTGCCTGACAGTTGTCACCTAGACAACCATGTCTCCATGAACTCCAGAGGAGACTGGGGGGGTGTCCTCTGAGAAGACAGCCAGCCCGATACATCAAATCTTCTGGTGCAAAGGAACCATTCTTGGCTTTGCGATGTGGAACACACTAAATAATGCATTCAACTGTTGTCTATTCATCTTTTCCATCACCACCACCGCAGGCCCCTCCTTGCCTGTGACCTTGAAATGCTCCCTCAGCTTCAGGCCTTCCCATTCTCCTGTTATCAGCAAATCTCGTTTGGTGTGAGTGTGTGTGTGTGTGTGTGTGTGTGTGCGTGCGTGTGTGTGTGTGTGTGTGTGTGTGTGTGTAGTTAACAACTTTCTAACCTTGCAGCTTCCTAGCTATGCTTTTTATTTTCAAACAAAAGAACTGCAAAGGCAGAAAGTTCTCTGTACCAACGTGTTAGGAAACTCTAATCAGACAAGCCCCGGCCACTCCTGTGACTTAACGAGGAGGAGCCATCATGGTCACGATCGCTCCCTGCCCGGGAAGGGCTGAGCCCCAAGGCAGGAGGGGAGAGCCGCCCCTCCTGCTGTAAAACAACAAAGAGCACCACGCTGGCGAAATCAAGGAGCAAGGAGAACAAAATGGCAATTACAGGCCAAAGGGCCAAAGTCACAATTTCCTCACACCAGGAAGCAGTGTGGCATGTGGACTGTGGGCATCAGTCACCAACTGTGGGCCCTGCCGGGATTAGGGAGACAAAGTCTGGGAGGCCTGTGGAGGCGGCCTTGAGATACACAGTGAGGTCTGCACGCCTCGAACATCACAAGCAAGGGGCTGGTGACTCACTAGGTGTGTACATGTGTGCTGTCGGGGAACCCATCCTAACTGACAAATACTGAGTACCTATGTGTTTCCCTGAGCTCTCTTCTAAACCTTGGGGATAGAGCACTAAACTAACCAGCCAAAGATCCCTGCCTTCTGGAGCGTACACCATAGCAGAGTACATGTTGCTAAACATTAATCTGAGATCATCAGATTGTCAGCTAAGTGTTTCCTGGAAGTGCTTGCAAGGCGAAGACTGCGGGGGAAGACTGTGGATGTATATTAGTCCATCCCAAGCATCACACATGCCGAACAAAGCAAGCTGTCTTGTGAGTTCTTAACCTGGGTCTTCATGGCTACCAAGGCTCCACAAGCTAGACCTTGGCCTTGTCTTTTATAGCCGTAGTGGCCACACTGTCTGCCCAGGGTCCCTGTGTGTGGGAATCACTCAGTGGTGCGCTGGAGCCAGCTCATACTGTCTCATGAGATGCATCTCTTCCCGATCCCATGTTTAGTGACATCATGTTGCTAGCTTGAAGTTAGTAATGGTGGGAATATCCACACCATAGAAATCGGCTTTACATCGGGGCCTTTGGTTTTTGTTTGTTTGTTTGTTTAAATGGTGGTTTATCAGCATACTTCTAGAACCACCCCTCCCTCAGATCCCCCATGTTCTGCTTGGTCCGTGATATTTGGGTAGCATGACACCATCCTCCCCAACACAACACGTGGCCTGAGTCTGCTCGGTCAGAGTACTCCATCCTCCTGGCCACATCATCTTGTACAGGGATGAGCACGTGACCCACAGCAGGTCAATCAAAGCCTTCTTCAAGATTTTCACCAGAGCTGTTAGAAAAAAATGCTCTTCTCCTCTGAGATCACGAGGAATGAGGATCACGTAAGCCTAGAGTTGCCATCTTTTTTCCAATCTCTTCTCAGCCAGCCAGACCATAAGGCCAACACAGAAGAGAGCAGAAGCAAGAGATGGACAGAAGGCAGAGCCCTGACAGCATTTCTTGTGCACCTGGAGCTAATATCACTTTTTGCTGTTGTTCTTAAGCTAGGTTGAGCTGGCATTTTGTCACTTGCAACCAAAAGAATCCTAATTCCAATATATTGTGTGCCCTCAGACGTTTCTCCTTCATAAACTGGCTCAGCTCCTAAGCAGAGAGCAGCAGATAATGTCAGTGTCCTGCTCTTGTCTCCTTGGCACTCGCTGTCCCCATGTAGCCTGATGCCTTCTTACTGTAAGCAAATGAGATGCTCTCAGCCCACAGGTGGGAGATCTCGGCCAGAGTGCTGGGGAGGTAACTCACATAGGGGCAGCCCTAAGCCAGTAAGCAACGGGAGATGGTGGAGAAAGGTCTCAGCTTCCCCACCCGTCGGGTGGGACTTGGAGGCATGTCCCATACCATCTCCCTGGGATCCCCAGCAGGATTGTCGCCTACAGTGGTAACCAGTTTTGACACTATGAGTTGGTTTCCTTCTCTTCTCTGTCTCACTTCTCCACCCCTTAGTGATACTTCCTGGAATCACCTCCCAAAGGAACTACATGCACCCAAATCCTTGTCACAAAGTCGGCTTCTGGGGGAATCCAGCCTAGAGGAATAGACCATCGCCCCCAAATTAAATAAATATGACTAACGATGACTACGACCCAAACCATCTTGCTCTTCTCTTTCTAGTAGTCAATGTTTGTGGTTTCTCAGCCAGTTGTGTTGTGTTGTTTCATGTCACCCAACACGTGGCTGCAGAGTTATTTTGCAAATGAGGAAAGGAAACTGCTATTCAGAACTGAAAGTGGGAGTCATAAAATCTAATTTGGGTTTGGTCTACATTTGGTTTTGGCTATGAAATAATAAAATCTGGACACACCCAGAGATTTTCCTTGGGGCAGCAGTGAATGCGGAGCAAAGCTTTTACTGGTTTTCTCTTGCGAGAAAGTTGGGCAGCTGAAGATACTATCGCATGCAAACAGCTCCCTCCATTCCGCCTGGTTGGTTCACACTTACCACAGGCTGGTGGAGACACCTTAGTTAAGAAACCCATACTTGTCAGGGAAGTCAGGCCTGGAGTGACCTTTTCCCAAAGGCAGAGGCCGACTCTCTGGGTGTGTGAAAGTTGGGAGCGCGTTTGCTCACAAAATCAGCCAGTCCTGTGAGAGCCACACCCAGTCTTCCCAGGGAAGGAGGAGAGAGAAAATACCTGTTCCAGGCATTAGGCTGCCAAGCTTTACAACTTCCAACACCTAGATACCTGTATTTTTCCAAAGTCTCGGTTTGGGAGTAATCTCCTAACGCATTACAGCTCCTTTGGACTGGGTATGCCTCTGACTTCATGGTAAGTAGGTAGGGTGGGATTAATCAAATAAATTTAAGTGAAAGACTTCGCAATACCAGATGAAAAGAGTCCAAACCTAGATGGCTGCACCAATGCTTTCAGGAATTAAGGATCTTTAAGGAGCAAATTGCAGAGGAGGGGTGTGGCCAGGGGAAAACCTGAACTTGGAATGTGAGTGCCTGCATGTGAGTTCCAGCTGTCACCGCCAAGCTGGCTGGCGGCATGCACAATGGTTATAATATAGATTCTGGAGCCACGCCACCTGGGTTTAAATTCCAGCTCCACTACTTGCTAGCTGTGTGACCATGGGAAAGTTAAGTAACGTCTCTGGACCCAGTTCCCTCTTCAATGAAGCAGGGATAATAATGGTACCTGCCTTTTGGGACTGATACAAGCATGAAATGGATTAATATCTCTGAACGGTCTAGAAACCTGCCTGACACCTAGTAAGTGCCAACCTGTTTGCTCTTATTATTGGTCACAGGCTCTCTGGGCCTCGGTGTTCTCATCTGTAAATGGAGGATTCCTACCTGGCTTATACTGTGGGGTTTTATTAGGACAAAATGACACAACGTTATTGGAAGGGAAAATGTGGTAAAGCATAATATAAATTTAGGTTGGGATTAAATCAGCTCAAGCTTTTGTGGCCGACCATCTTCCCCTAAAGGCTGGGGCTAGGCACTTAGAGGCTCGGTTAGTCTTGATTTCCAGGGAAGGAAACAAGAGCTCAGGGAAATACACCCTCCCCTCTACACGGGTCGGACATATGGCTAGCAGCTGGGATTTATGTAAAGCATTCTTCAAATTAGTCCAAAAGCCCCACTGTTTGGTTATTGCCCCCAGTGCAACCGTAAAACCACAGCTCACAACTGCCAGCAGGTTGTTACATCCCCAGCCTGTGCTCACCCTGGCCCCCTCTCAGCTGCCTCGCCATGGCCACTCCAAGTTCCCTGGCCCCAGAGCCACCTGCGTGTCCTCTGGTTAACTCAATCTGCTGTCAAAAAGGAGGAAGTAATTAAATGGGGGACATGTCAGTCCCACCACAGGCCCTGGAAAAGTCAATAAAATTTAGTCACCAGAATGGGAGCTGAGTTTTAACCACTCTACTATAAACCATGACATGCACAAAAGATGTCAGCTTCAGGCCACAGAGCAGCCAAGCCCAGGAGTTCAGGTGCTCAACGTAGCTTTCCTTCTGTGGGGCAGAAGGAAGGAAAATGAAGTACTATTCACCCCAGCGAAATGCGAAGGGAAAACATCTTGTTTCCCCCATAATCCTATACCCTGAAGAGATTAGGGGGAGGGTCATTACAGTGGTGAAGGGGAGACAAATGGAAAAGAGGACAGGATAAAATATTGTTACCAGACAGACCCACTGGGCTCTCGGAGACTGTGTACGAGAGAGCCAGCTATTATAACAGCACTTGAATTCACAAGTTTGTTGCTTGCTTTCTATTTCAAAATCCTCTGCCCTACTGTTTCCCTGCTCCAGTATCTGACAGATTTCCTCTGAAGTCACAGGGCTCTATCCCGGAGGGGCTGTGGAGGACGGTGTGGAAGGGAGAACGAGAACACATAAGAAACAAGATTCCTCCTGACCTACCCTGCCTGCCTGGCTGGCCTTCTTCCCTTTGGTTCTTTTTTGCTTTGTAAAATAATGAAATTTCACTGAAATCAATCTCACTAACCAACTTAGTGAGAAAATTTAGCTACAACCTAGTAGGACCAGCATCCAGATTTGGCCAAGAGTGTTTGGAGGTGGGGTGGGGTGGGGTGGGGAAGGGGAGGAGAAGGTCCACCAAAAAGAGGTTTCCTTTTCACACAGCAGAGACATCACAACAGACCCTGAGTCACAGAAATATGCTGATTCACTCTTTTCCCACAGTCTTGACTCTCTTTGCAAAAAGGCCTAGGAACCTTGTTACATTTCATTTTCTGGTTTTTGTTTCCCCAAAAGTGAAAGGTGACTTATTTAACAATTTCAATGAAATACTGCCTGTAAAATGCAGAGTATCATACAAGGCACAATTGCCTTAAAGTTAGTAGTTAACATTTATTGAACACTTACTACTATTTTTAATCTTCACAAATTTCCTGGGCAGTAGATTCTAATATCATCAGACCTATTTTACAGATAAGAAGACTGAGCCCCAGAGAAATTAAGAAACATGCCCAAGGCCATGTAGCTGGGCAGTGGTAGAGATAAGATTGGAACACTCACTCAGTATTTCCTATCAGCTCTCCATGCTGACAATTGCTGACATTTATCTAATGCTGAGCAGATTCCCAAACCCTTTCATGTACACTATCTCATTGGATACTCAAAACACATCTCTTGAGACAGGAGTTCTTGTCTCTAATTTAGAGATGAGGAAACAGAAATTTAGAAGGATTAAGTGATTCTAACAGTATTATAGAGGCAGAAAGTGAAGAGTGGAACTCAAACACACCTTCTGGTCTTCTTACCATACCCCTGCTACCTCAGAATAGTAAGTCTTTACATACGGCAAGCTCTCATCAGCCCTGGTAAAACCTTCAGGCTTGCTCCACAGGAAGGGCCCCCCTCCTCTGCTTCCAGAGGCAGGTGTGATGGCTTCTTCATTGGCCACCTCTACCCACTGGTAATGCATGCATATGTTTCCTGCAAGGTGGCCGCATGTGGCTGTGCAGGTGGTTTGGTGAATGACCTCACTGCACCTATGGGGGCACCATTCAAAATAGGTGTGGTAGATTTGCCATTTTATGAAGATAATTTTCCAGTAGATGGCAGTAATGTGTCTTGAGGAAGGGGTGGGTGCCTTTTCCTAATTCATGCAAAGGCAATGTAAAGGCTAGTGGGACCTCTGATGGTGTCCACTTTAAATTCTTCTTACCCATAGTGGTAAGATGGCATTGATCCATCTATCCTCTTCTGGTCCCTCTTAAGACCTAGAGTGGGAGGTGCTCTCTGCTAGAATTCATTTATTAACATTTAACAAAATGCTTACCAGGTATCTACAATGGGACAGATATTATACAAGGTGGACCTACCGCAATGGCGAACAAAAGAAACACGGTCCCTCCTCTCTTACTGAACTTCAACAAGGGAGTAGGGAAGGCACTAGAGGTTGGTCCACTTTAATTGGCTTACCCTTTCTCTCTGACTTGGCTCTATTCTATAGGTTGTAAACACTAACCCGCAACAACAACAACTTAACTTTTTAAGACTCCTTTGCAACCAGAAGTTGCCATGTGACCCAGTTCTGGCCATGAGACATAAACGGTAGTCAACTGATGCTCACTTTTCCTCTTCTCCTCTCTCTCTGGTTGGAATACAGATGCTATGCCTGAGAAGCAGCAGTCATCTTGTAAACATGAGGACTGGAATATACTTGCTATAGACAGCAGCGAAAGAAGAGAAAAGTAGTCTGAGTCCTGTGTGGCATGATTGAGCCATTCGACCATTGCTGGATGTCCTGTCTTGTTGTGGGAGATAAATAAACCCTCATGTATTTAAACTACAATCAGTCAAGTTTTCTATTACTTGCAGCTGAGCACTACCCAAACTAACACAAGGAGACAAACATTGAGCAATACGAAAAAAACAAATGTAGAACTATAAATACCAATAAATGCCACACTAGAGAAGTACAGGGCACCATGAGAATGTAAACTCAGGCACCTGACCATGTCTGTGGGGCAAGTAAGGCTTTGCTGAGGAAATGACATTAGATCTCAATAACTAGGGGCTAGAGGGGGCGGAGTCAAGATGGCGGTGTGGGAAGACGCCAAGTTAGCATCTCCCCACAACTAGGGTGACTGCCGGCCACTGGTGGGGCACCCTGATGCCCAAGGAGATGGGAGGAACCCCCAAGTGAACTGCCAGGGGTCGGGCGAAGCTCCTGAGGTGGGAGCTCCGAGTCCGAACCACTGGACTAACAGAGAACCTCAGACCCCAGGGAATATTCACTGGAGTGATGTATCATGGAGGTCCTCACCTCAGCACCAAGACTCAGCTCTACCCAACAGCCTACAAACTCCAGTGTTGGAAGCCTCAGGCCAAACAACCAGTAAGACGGGAACACAATCCTACTCAGAAAAACTAGAAAATGAGAGGGCAAAAAAAAATTGTCACAGATGAAGGAGCAAGGTAAAAACCTACAAGACCAAATAAATTAAGAGGAAACAGGCAATCTACCTGAAAAAGAATTCAGAGTAATGATGGTAAAGATGATCCCGAATCTCGGCAATAGAATGGAGGCATGCCTTGAGAAAATACAAGAAATTTGTTTAACAAAGATCTAGAAGAAATAAAGAACAAAGAAACAGAGATGAACAACACAATAACTGAAATGAAAAATACACTAGAAGGAATCAATAACAGAATAACTGAGGCAGAAGAACGAATAAGTGAGCTGGAAGCCAAAATGGTGGAAATAACTGCCAAGGAGCAGAATAAAGAAAAAAGAATGAAAAGAATTTGAAGACAATCTCAGAGACCTCTGGGACAACACTAAATGCTCCAACATTCGAACAGTAGGGGTCCCAGAAGGAGAAGAGAAAAAGAAAGGGTCTAAGAAAATATTTGAAGAGATTATAGTTTAAAACTTCCCTAACATGGGAAAAGAAATAGCCGCCCAAGTCCAGGAAGCACAGAGAGTCCCATACAGGATAAACCCTAGGAAAAACACACCAAGACACATATTAATCAAACTATCAAAAATTAAATTCAAAGAAAAAATATTAAAAGCAGCAAGGGAAAAACCAAAAAATAACATACAAAGGAATCCCCATAAGGTTATCAACAGATTTTGCAGCAGAAACTCTGCAGGCCAGAAGAGAGTGGCAGGATGTACTTAAAGTGATGAAAGAGAAAAACCTACAACCAAGATTATTCTACCCAGCAAGGATCTCATTCAGATTCAATGGAGAAATTAAAAGCTTTTCAGACAAGCAAAAGTTAAGAGAATTCAGCATCACCAAACCAGCTCTACAACAAATGCTAAAGAAACTTCTCTAGGTGGGAAACACAAGAGAAGGAAAAGACCCACAAAAACAAACGCAAAACAATTAAGAAAATGGTAATAGGAACATACATATCGATAATAACCTTGAATGTAAATGGATTAAATGCCCCAAGCCAAAGAAACAGTCTGGCTGAATGGATACAAAAACAAGACCCATATATATGCCGTCTACAAGAGACCCACTTCAGACCTAGGGACACATACAGACTGAAAGTGAAGGGATGGAAAAAGATATTCCATGCAAATGGAAATCAAAAAAAGCTGGAGTAGCAATACTCATATCAGATAAAATAGACTTTAAAATAAAGACTCTTATGAGAGATAAGGAGGGACACTACATAATGATCAAAGGATCAATCCAAGAAGGAGATATAACAATTATAAATGTTTATGCACCCAAGATAGGAGCACCTCAATACATAAGGAAAATGCTAACAACCGTGAAAGGAGAAATCAACAGTAACACAATAATAGTAGGGGACTTTAACACCTCACTTACACCAATGGACAGATCATCCAAACAGAAAATAAATAAGGAAACACAAGCTTTAAATGACACAATAGACCAGATAGATTTAATTGATATTTATAGAACATTCCACCCAAAAGTGGCAGAATACACTTTCTTCTCAAGTGCACATGGAACATTCTCCAGGATAGATCACATCTTGGGTCACAAATCAAGCCCCGGAAAATTTAAGAAAATTAAAATCATATCAAGCATCTTTTCTGACCACCACACTATGAGAGTGGAAGTCAATTACAGGAAAAAAACTGTAAAAAACACAAATACATGGAGGCTAAACAGTGCGCTACTAAATAACCAAGAGATCACTGAAGAAATCAAAGAGGAAATCAAAAATTACATAGACACAAATGACAATGAAAACACGACAACTGAAAACTTATGGGACGCAGCAGAAGCAGTTCTAAGGGGGAAGTTTATAGCAATTCAATCTCACCTCAAGAAACAAGAAAAATCTCAAATAAACAATCTAACCCTACACTTAAAACAACTAGAGAAAGAAGAACAAAGAAAATCCGAAGTCAGTAGAAGGAATGAAATCATAAAGGTCAGAGCAGAAACAAATGAAATAGAAATGAAGAAAACAATAGCAAAGATCAATAAAACTAAAAGCTGGTTCTTTGAGAAGATACACAAAATTGATAAACACTTAGCCAGACTCATCAAGAAAAAAAGGGAGAGAATGCAAATCAATAAAATTAGAAATGAAAAAGGAGAAATCACAACTGACATTGCAGAAATACAAAGGATTATAAGAGACTACTACAAACAACAATATGCCAATAAAATGGACAACCACGAAGAAATACTTGAAAAGGTACAATTTTCCAAGACTGAACCAGGAAGATTTAGAAAATATAAACAGACTTATGACAAGCAATGAAATTGAAACCATAATTAAAAATCTTCCAACAAACAAAAGTCCAGGACCAGATGGCTTCATGGGCGAATTCTATCAAACATTCAGAGAAGAGCTAATGCTGATCCTTCTCAAACTCTTCCAAAAAATTGCAGAGGGAGAAACACTCCCAAATTCATTCTACAAAGCCACCATCACCCTGATACCAAAACCAGAAAAAGATATCACAAAAAAAGAAAATTATAGACCAATATCACTGATGAACACAGATGCAAAAATCCTCAACAAAATACTAGCAAAGAGGATCCAACAGCACATTAAAAGGATCATACACCATGATCAGGTGGGGTTTATCCCAGAGATGCAAGGACTCTTCAATATACACAAATCAATCAATGTGATACACCACATTAACAAATTAAGGAATAAAAACCATATGATCATCTCAATAGATCCAGAAAAAGTTTTTGACAAAATTCAACACCATTTATGAGAAAAACTCTCCAGAAAAAGGGCATAGAGGGAAACTACCTCAACATAATAAAGGCCATATATGACAAAACCACAGCAAGCATCATACTCAGTGGTGAAAAACTGAAAGCATTTCCTCTAATATCAGGAAGAAGACAAGGATGTCCACTCTCACCACTATTATTCAACATAGTTTTGGAGGTCTTAGCCACGGCAATCAGAGAAGAAAAAGAAATAAAAGGAATACAAATTGGAAAAGAAGAACTAAAACTCTCACTGTCTGCAGATGACATGATACTATACCTAGAAAATCCTAAAGACGCCACCAGAAAACTACTAGAACTAAACAGTGAATTTGGTAAGGCTGCAGTATACAAAATTAATGCACAGAAATCTCTGATATTCCTATATACTAACAATGACAAATCAGAAAGAGAAATTAAGGAAACACTCCCATTTAACATTGCAACAAAAAGAATAAAATACTTAGGAATAAACCTATCTAAGGAGACAAAAGACCTGTATGCAGAAAACAATAAGACACTGATGAAAGAAATTAAAGATGATACAAACAGATGGAGACATATACCATGTTCTTGGATTGGAAGAATCAACATTGTGAAAATGACTCTACTACCCAAAGCAAACTACAGATTCAATGCAATCCCTATCAAACTACCAATGGCATTTTTCACAGAACTAGAACAAAAAATTGCACAATTTGTATGGAAACACAAAAGACCCCGAATAGCCAAAGCCATCTTGAGAAAGAAAAACGGAGCTGGAGGAATCAGGGTCCCAGACTTCAGACTATACTACAAAGCTACAGTCATCAAGACAGTATGGTACTGGCACAACAACAGAAATATAGATCAATGGAACAGGATAGAAAGCACAGAGATAAACCCATGCACATATGGTCACCTTATCTTTGATAAAGAGGCAAGAATATACAATGGAGAAAAGACAGCCTCTTCAATAAGTGGTGCTGGGGAAACTGGACAGCCACATGTAAAAGAATGAAATTAGAACACTCCCTAACACCATACACAAAAATAAACTCAAAATGGATTAAAGACCTAAATGTAAGGCCAGACACTATAAAACTCTTAGAGGAAAACATAGGCAGAACACTCTATGACATAACTCACTGCAAGATCCTTTCTGACCCACCTCCTACAGAAATGGAAATGAAAACAAAAATAAACAAACGGGACCTAATGAAACTTCAAAGCTTTTGCACAGCAAAGGAAACCATAAACAAGATGAAAAGACACCCCTCAGAATGGGAGAAAATATTTGCAAATGAAGCAACTGACAAAGGATTAATCTCCAAAATATACAAGCAGCTCATGTAGCTCAATATCAGAAAAACAAACAACCCAATCCAACAATGGGCAGAAGACCTAAATAGACATTTCTCCAAAGAAGACACACAGATTGCCAACAAACACATGAAAGCATGCTCAACACCACTAATCATTAGAGAAATGCAAATCAAAACTACAATGAGGTATCACCTCACACCCACCAGAATGGCCATCATCAAAAAATCTACAAACAATAAATGCTGGTGAGGGTATAGAGAAAAGGGAACCCTCTTGCATTGTTGGTGGGAATGTAAACTGGTACAGCCACTATGGAGAACAGTATGGAGGTTCCTTAAGAAACTAAAAATAGAACTACCATACGACCTAGCAATCCCACTACTGGGCATATACCCTGAGAAAACCATAATTCAAAAAGAGACATGTACCACAATGTTCATTGCAGCACTATTTACAATAGCCAGGACATGGAAGCAACCTAAGTGTCCATCCACAGATGAATGGATAAAGAAGATGTGGCACATATATACAATGGAATATTACTCAGCCATAAAAAGAAATGAAATTGAGTTATTTGTAGTGAGGTGGATGGACCTAGAGTCTGTCATACAGAGTGAAGTAAGTCAGAAAGAGAAAAACAAATACTGTATGCTAACACATATATATGGAATCTAAAAAAAAGAAAAATGGTTCTGAAGAACTTAGGGGCAGGACAGTAATAAAGACACAGACGTAGAGAATGGACCTGAGGACATGGGAATTGGGAAGGGTAAGCTGGGACGAAGTGAGAGCGTGGCATGGACATATATACACTACCAGATGTAAAACAGATAGCTAGTGGGAAGCAGCCGCATGGCACAGGGAGATCAGCTTGGTGCTTTGTGTCCA